TCATGTATGTACATATGTGCTGTATACGCGTATAGATGGACAAAAAGTGACCATTAATACCTCCACACATGTATTTATTCCATCGGGATACCGAGATCTCTAAACAACATGAGCCCCGGAAAACATTAAAGCCATAAGCCCTAAACCCTAAACCGTGGATAAGCTCAGACCACTGCTTCCGAGATAGCTCGTTAACTTTAGCAGCTCCGGTGTTTCAGCTTCAGGGCATCTTGGGAGCAGAAACTTTCCCAGACCCTAAACCCTAAACCCTCAAACTCTGAACCCCGAAAACCTGAACCCCAAACCCTAAATCCCGGAACCCTAAACCGCAGCCCTTGCGCATGCTGAGGACCAGACTTGGACGGCCTCAATTCGGCCTAGTGCCCGTAATCTGCGTTCTTCGAGCAAAATGCTGCGATGACGCTGCACTCTCGGCTTCATGGCTTCGGGCAGCCTTAACAGAATTGTGGGTGTGGAGCATCAAGACTCAGAACTGCTATGTCAGGCATTGCGTTTCCTTAGGACTACAGTACTGCGAGTACTCTTGGCGAAAGTTGTGAATCCCAGGTTGCGGACTCAGGGCTTAATGCCCAGGCCCCCCTACATAAGCCGTTAGCCAATGACATTGTAAGGGCAAACTTCCGCCTAACGAACCTGAGGCCCTCTAAACTGTAGATCTCTGATACAGAACTCGCAACGGACCTTAACAAACAGGATCCCTCAAATCCCTATTCCTGAACCTCGTTCTTGGCTGGAGAAACCGTCAGTTCTGCTGATTTAGGGGAGTGTTTCGGTTTAGGCTGCTTTTTTTGGGGTACGGCCTGACCAAAATGCACTAACTCGCAACCTGCCTAAACCACGAAACCTAAACTTTCCTGGCCCTAAGCTAAGAACCTATCGCCGAGTTCTCCTGAAGCTCCGCTGGCTGGAAGTTGATGCCATGCATGCCTCGGTGATTCGGGGCATCTTGAACTTCGGGGGTAACTTAGGGTTTAGGGTTTAAGGCTTAGTAAACCCTAAACCCCTAAACCCCCAAACCCTAAACCGCGACCCCTAAACCCCCTAAACCCTAAACCCTAAACCCCTAAACCCCAAACCCCTAAACCCTAAACCCCCTAAAACCCAAACTTTAGGCTTTGGAGCTCAGGCTTGAAAGTCTGGGCGTAACTTGGGCTTTGGGCTGCCTTAGGGCCTGTAGGGTTGAGGCTTTTAGGTTTTAGGGTTTGGGGTTTAGGGTTTAGGTTTTAGGGTTTAGGTTTTTAGGTTTTAAATTTAGGGTTTAGGCTTTTAGGTTTTAGGGTTTAGGGTTTTAGGTGTTAGGTTTTAGGGTTTAGGTTTTAGGTTTTTAGGTTTGAGGGTTTAGGCTTGTAGGTTTTAGGGTTTAGGTTTTTAGGTTTTAGGTTTTAGGGTTTAGGTCTTAGGTTTTTAGGTTTTAGGGTTTAGGGTTTAGGGCTTAATCAGGGCTTATTACAGGGGTTTCGGGCTCACGGCAGCTATCTTTAAGGGTTTCGTAAGGGCTTTGCCAGGCCTTGAGGTTTATAGAAGCCTACATAATTACCACTATTATTCTTCAGGGCTCCTCATTAGAATTATATTCTAAAGGAGCCCAGAACCCTATGTATTCTAATCATAAAGGCCCCTACATTTGAGTTCAGGGATGAGGTCTGGTCTCCTAACACAAGGATCCAAGTAGCCAGCTCAACACCCACCCCCGAACAAAATACCCTGAACCCTATTTTCGTCTAAGAATAGACGGTGGACCCTATAAACCCTAAACCCGAGTAAACCCTAAACCCCTCAACCCCAAACCGGAGTCAACCCTAAACCCCGAAACCTCTCAACCCTAAACCCTAAACCCTAAACCCCTCAAGCCCTCAACCCTAAACCCTGAGAAGATTTGCTAGAATGCTCACGTGCGTCAACTACTAGTGTCGAGGGCTGAAGCCTACCGGGCTGCGGATGTGGGCCTGTAAAAAAAGACAGGGGCCTTAGTAATTACAAGAGGGTTCCTTTACAGGGGTCCTGTAAGGGTTGCTAGAAGGGGCTCTATAAGAAGGGGCCGCAATGAAGTAGAACAGGTTTAGGATATTTTATACTACAACTATAGATACGGAACCCCCCTCCCCCCCGAGGCTCCTATAGTAGGTTTTCCGGTTCAGCGGTTTGGCGTTTAAGGGTTTGGGTTCAGGCTTCGGAGATGGGGTTTGAGGCTCGGGGTGTCAGGCTTCGGGCTCTGGCTTCTAGATGGTAGCTTGAGGGCTCCAGGATTTAAGGGCTTAAGGGTTTATGGGTTTCGGGTTGAAGGTTTAGGGTTTAGGAAAAGGCTCGGAGCTTATTCGCACCATTCGTAGCATGCTGGCAAGCGGTGGTGACTTGGTGAAGCTGGGGTTTAGGGGCTAGGCCTAAGTATTAATATCGAAATATCTATAACTAATGATGCATTATATGCCGTAAACCTCAAACCGACGCTTTTGGGCCGAAGCGTATCGAGCCCGAAGCCAAGGTATCAGACCCGAAATCCAACGTTCTGAACCCTGCCTGTTCCCCGACAGCCACACCTTTTTCAGGCAACGAACAAGGAAATGGGTTTAGGGTTTAGGGTTTAGGGTTTAGGGTTTGTGTAACAAGAAGCCCGAAAACAAGGGCTTTCTCCGCTTCAGGTAAAGCACAAAGCTTATCCTGAACCCCCCCCTAGCCCAGAACCCCTGGCGCCCAATCTGAGGTTCCCTCAACTTTAAACACCTAAACCGAAAAGACCCTGTTCTGAAGCACTAAACCATACAACCTGAATCCTAAACACCGTGCGGCAAGCCCTGCGTTCCAGCAACACCCCCTCAGCTTCGAACTGAGCCCATGAGCGAACTCCTCAATGTGAAGTTAGGATTTAGGGTCAGGGGTTTAGAGTTGAGGCTTTGGGCTTGGGTGTTGACATATCTATGGTTAAGCTCCGCATTTAGTCAGCCAAGGCTTGAGGTCTAGGTTTTAGGGTATATGTAGGGTTTGGAGTTGGGGACATAGTTTAGGGGTTGGAGTTGAGCATGTGGGGTTGGATGAGCTGAGGTTAAGGGCATTCGAGGGCCATGGCTCTCTGCAAGGCTTTATTAGTTTGTAGGAACCCCAAACCCCAAGCCACAAACGTGCAATCTTGCAGGGCGGGAACAAGAAGCTGTGACGTAAATGCTGCAACGAACGTTGGGGGGAGTAGAAGATCGGAGCTAAACCCCTTCCTATGAAGGTATGAAAGGGTCATGACACGTAACAATCTGCCTGAACAGGGTTTCGGCAATGGGCTTCTGCAGTCTTTTTTGGGTCGTCGTCTTGGCCACTTGGGCCATAATATAGAAGCCTAAATAATCACCAAAACTGTTATGGGTGTTTTTGATTTTATTAATACTAGAGAGAAGCCCAACACCCTATTCTATTCTGAGTATTACGCTCGAGAGAGGGAGGGAGAGGGAGGGAGAGGGAGAG